TGATAAAATATGAATAGTACTTTATGTGTGGCTAATTTTTTTAAAAAAAATTATAAATTTTTCAAATAAGACGGACGGTCAAACGTTGGACACGTATTTCCACGGCTGCAATTATTTTGGGACGGAGGTAGTACATGTTTAACTAAGTGCAGCTTATGGAGTCTCGAATTGAGGAAACTAGTGCGCTTGCTTGTATTCGGTGGCCAGTTTAACTTGAGTGACAGCATTGTTAAATCAGGATATATGCACTGCTTACCAAGGAAAATGACCTTCACCAAGTAAGTCAAATCGCCACTCATTAGAACGTTGTAGAAGACCATGCATATGGGCAGAGCACTACCTGCTTGGATCACAAGCTTTCCTCGGAAGGGTCGTATAGTTCATCAAGCAATTCGAAACTGGAATTAATTAGGAACCACGTTTCAGGTTCGTGGAACACGTTCTATATGAAGTAACAAAACTAAAATTCTGTTTGGTTGAACGAGCTAGAATGTAGAGAATTAACTTGAGGCTTCACGTTGTTATGTGTATGTGGTTTTTTTTTCTATTCCATTGTAATAAATACTCCCTCCGTTTACAAATATAATAGAATTTAGGCCGTGTTTAGTTCATGTGCCAAAATATTTTTTTAAATATACGGACACACATTTGAAGTATTAAACATAGACTAATAACAAAACAAATTACAGATTCCGTATGTAAACTGCGAGACGAATTTATTAAGCCTAATTAATCTGTCATTACCAAATGTTTACTATAGCATCATAATGTCAAATCATGGTGAAATTAGGCTCAAAAAATTCGTCTCGCAATTTTCATGCAAACTGTGCAATTGTTTTTTTTCGTCCACATTTAATGCTCCATATATGTGTCCAAATATTTGATATGATGGAATTTATGGAAGTTTGAAGGGAACTAAACACTGTCTTAGTGCCATTCCATTTATCCACCAATACGAAGGATTTTAAAAGCCCAAGGAGAAAACTATACTCCCTCTATCCCATTTTAAGCGTAACCTTGAGTTTCCATGTCTAATTTTGATCGTCTATCTTATTTGAAATATTTTATGACTAGTATTTTTATTGATGTTAGATGACAAAACATGAATAATACTTTATGCGTGACTTATATTTTTGTTTTTTTAATTTTTAGAAAAGTTTTTAAATAAGACGGACGATTAAAGTTGGACACGAAAACTCATGGCTGCGTTTAAAATGAGATGGAGGGAGACATTGCCTCGGGCGTCCAATGAATCGTTCAACGTGTCACTTGTCAGTGCTACCTAAATTTGTACTAAAAGTGGCAAAATTCCGTATGTTTGTGAATAATATGAAATGATTTGTGTTAAAATATAGTATAATGGATTATTTTGCTGCCTGAAAAATAAATTACATCCTTTTAAAGGTGGGACAATCATTGTTCATACTTTTGGAAGCTCCACCATTACATACATAGTTTCCGTCGTTTTCACGTCCTACCAACATTGAACAAAGCACGATTGACTGGCATACTCAATTTGACCATATTGTTTTGAAAACTTGCGTATTATTTTACTAGGGGGCATATTGCATAAGCCCCACTAGGTAGGGTTCTTGTATTTGTCAATCTGCCAGTACATCTCGTCTAATTGTTGTTATACCACTAGGGTTCTTGTTTCATCCATACGTTGCTAGAATGCCATTGGATCAAAAACAGTAACACTGGAAGATATACTGAGGGACAAGAAAGGAGAGAGTGCCGGAAATCAATTGAGAAAAAGGGGTTGTATGATCGAATACAAGAAACAAACTTAGCATAGAAGGTGAACGGTAGTAACACAAAAAAACTATTTTTTTTAATAAAAAGAACGCTCTAACTTGATAGAGTGTGTCGTTGGTTGAACCGCTGGACCAACACTGGTTAGATCGAATCCTATCCACCGGTCGGACCGCTGTGACACCACTGGTTAGACTACTTGCCTTATGTCGCTCTGATCGTCGGGGTCTAGAAAAACACAAATCTGATCCGAATCCGATCCAACTCGTAGAATCTGCCAGCCTGACTGTTGAGTAGCCCTATCGGAGCGCACCAAACCCACTGGTCTAACCGACCACCCAATGCCAACCACACTATTCAATGTCTGAAAACACTTCACCATATTTTCACAAACAATCGCCTTTGACAATGGTTCATCACCGCGATTAAATCATCACCTGATTCTACGGACACTACTATAGAAATACACATAGCGATATAGTGCCAAAAAATAGTTAAAAATGGCACCTATAGTGCTTTCCCCACCTCCGCAGGTTGAAAACATACAAAACCGGTACCTTTAAGCAACTATATGTGCCTTTTTTAGAGAAAAACCGGCACCTATCCTATAGCTACCGTTTAAAAAAAAGGCACCTATAATATATTATGGGTATCAATTAAATAAAAACCAATGTGTTGGTTTTCTAAAAAGCCGGCACCATCCTTAACCGAGCTGAACCGGACGAGCCAATCAGAGCCCTTCTCTCTCTCTCTCTCCTCCCCGCAACTGGCTTAAGCGACGGTGGCTTCTCCCAAGGAGGATCCAATGGCGAAGGCGTCAATGACGGGCGGGGCGGCGTCGTCAGCGGGCAGGGTGTCATCGGCGGGGTCTCCCGCATGTATCGGGCGTCGGGACGAATGGGCGGCGTCGACGGGTGTTCCCGTGGCAGATCTGGCTTCGGCGGGCTCTTCCGCAGCGGATCCGGCGTCAACGGGTGTTCCCACATCGGGTCTGACGTCGGTGGGGTCTCCCATGGTGGATCCAGCGTCGGCGGGGGTTCTCGCGGCGGATCCGTCGGCGGCGGTAGGGGGAACAACGTTAGCGGTTGTCTACCCCTCTTTCTTGTTCATGTGAGATATTGTTGTTCTTGTTCATGTGAGATTTGTGTTCTTGTTCATGTGAGACATTGGTGCCGGCATCACTTATTAGGGCCGCCTACTTGGTGCCAAGTTGGAAACTGGCATCTATTAGGGTTTCCCAACCGGCACCAAGCCCGATTTTTTACCAGTCAGTGGTAAAGGCTGGGATCAAACCCAGGATCACTGGGTTGTGTGATGCATGCACTAACCATTTAACAAACAAGAGAAACCTAGCTTGATGAACTACTACATCGTACAACCTTGAAAATATCTTGGGAATTGACTTGAATATCCTCATGAACGTTGGTGCATCTGCCACTATTATAGGATGTAACTTCAACGTAAAGAGAATGTAAAAAATGAGTAAAAATCATATCTTAATTATTTACCATCAATTACAATAATGTAAAAAAATGAGTAAAAATCATATCTTAATTATTTACCATCAATCACATTAAAAATTACACTGCAAACAAAATAATGTAGCCGGCAACAGGAAAACTTGCATTTTTAGGTGTCACTTTATTAAAAAGAGATACTAAAATGGCAACCGTTTTTCTTCTACTGAACAGACCGCTGGTTAGTGAGAGGAGATTTTGCGAGAGAAGAAATAATGTTGGTTTTTAAGCTTCGTGGAACAAAAACATTTAGTAGAAGACATCGTTGGATGAGAAACACCAAAGACAACAGGTCGAGACTCATATCTCAATGTAAATCGAATGACCAAATATTCGTGTCATTTCATCAAGTAAAAGCATTTTGTAATAGCAAAATCTAAATTAAGAGGCTCTCGTTTTAGTGCTAACGAGAAACCATAACTAGACACGTTAACTATAGTTCTAGTCCATCAAGCAAGTAGAAAATATATTCCTATCACCTATGTTGCAAATAATTTTTTTTCTTAAACTACTCATATGATCTACGATCCGATTACATGGTTGTGTTCGTAAGAATTAAATCTTTATAACAAGTTCTCACATGATTATATTTTGATGAAAAATTACAAATTACTTTTATAATATGGTTGTGTTTAGTTCGTGTGCCAATTTTTTTTACGTATACAGACACACATAATAAGTATTAAACGTAGATTAATAACAAAACAAATAATAGATTCCGCCTGTAAACTGCGAGATGAATTTATTAATCATAATTAATCCATCATTAGTAAGTGTTTACTGTAGCATCGCATTGTCAAATCATGGCGTAATTAGACTCGAAAGATTCGTCTCGCGATTTACATGCAAACTGTGCAATTTGTTTTTTTTCGTCTACATTTAATACTCCATGCATGTGTCCAACAAACATTTGATGTGACGAAAAAGATGGAAGTTTGAAAAAATAAATAAATCTAAACACGGCCTATATCTAAATTATTTTTAGATTTCACTAAATTACTTGTTATACATATAAAAGTAAATTCAATAAAGTCTAAAAATAATTTAAGAAGTAACTTAAAACAAAAATGAAGTAACTTTTTCATGACATTAGAAGTAGATTCGTTATGGAGGTAAAAACATGAGTCTATCTAGAAATTAAATTTAATCAACACAAATTATGGAATTGGCTAAAAATAGTAATAAAATAAACAGCGCACAACATTATGAATATATAAGAAGTAATTTAATAAAATCGAAAAGTAATTTATATATATGATAAAAGTAACTTACATATATAATAAAAGTAATTTACAACAAAGATATTTCTTTTATCAAAATATAGTCATGTAAGATCTTGTTGTAAAGATTTAATTACAACGAACACAATGGTGTAATCGGATTATAGATCAGATAGGTAATTTAAAGAAAAATCCATAAGAAGAAAAAAAAAAGACATGTATCATTTGGTGTACTAGTAGGCAACCATGTATGAGATGAGTTTCTGGTTAAGACAATATAGCGTGCAGTCTCTATGTAATCACGTCCGTTTTTATAACTTGCTTAACAGGATCTCTATATCACTACGTACTCAAAAACAGCAAGTGCGCACTTGTCGTACAAACTTCAAATTTATATCATCACGAACGCACGATGCAAAGACAAAGTTGTCACGTCAATTGTTTCATTTTAGGCAATGGCATTGCCATTTTGGAAGTGCATAGCCGCAATCCACGCCTATATAAACCCCACAACACTTGCAGTATCCAGCAAACAAACCAAGCTAAACAATCACCCACTTCTATAGTTAGTTAAGGTAGCAACACTTAATTATTTGCAATTAATCTAATTGCATATATAGGATGGCTTACACTAATCTCTCCAAGAAACTAGCCGTAGCCTTGGTAGCACTGGCCGTCGCCTGTGCCCACGCACTCGCGGCGCGCGACCTTGTCGACGCGGCCGCCATGGCGCAGCGGCACGAGCGGTGGATGGCCAAGCACGGCCGCGCCTACGCCGACGACGCCGAGAAGGCGCGGCGGCTGGAGGTGTTCAGGGACAACGTGGCGTTCATCGAGTCGGTGAACGCCGCCGCGAGCCAGCACAAGTTCTGGCTGGAGGAGAACCAGTTCGCCGACCTCACCAACGCCGAGTTCAGGGCCACGCGGACGGGGCTCAGGCCGTCGTCGTCGCGCGGCAACCGCGCCCCGACGTCGTTCCGGTACGCCAACGTCAGCACCGGCGATCTCCCGGCGAGCGTCGACTGGCGCGGCAAGGGCGCCGTCAACCCCGTCAAGGACCAAGGCGATTGCGGTAAGCGTGCGTGGTGTTCGTCCCATTTTGCGTGAGGTGGCGTTCGCCGCCATGGCGAGCTGAGAGCGTTGTGCTGCGTCGTGCGTGCGTGTGCAGGGTGTTGCTGGGCGTTCTCGGCGGTGGCGGCCATGGAGGGAGCCGTGAAGCTGGCCACGGGGAAGCTGGTGTCGCTGTCGGAGCAGCAGCTGGTGTCGTGCGACGTCAAGGGCGAGGACCAGGGCTGCGAGGGCGGGCTCATGGACGACGCGTTCGACTTCATCATCAAGAACGGCGGCCTCGCCGCGGAGTCCGACTACCCGTACACGGCGAGCGACGACAAGTGCGCCACCGCCGGCGCCGGCGCCGCCGCCGCGACCATCAAGGGGTACGAGGACGTGCCGGCGAACGACGAGGCGGCGCTGCTCAAGGCCGTGGCGAACCAGCCGGTGTCGGTGGCCATCGACGGCGGCGACCGGCACTTCCAGTTCTACAAGGGCGGCGTCCTCTCCGGCGCCGCCGGCTGCGCCACCGAGCTGGACCACGCGATCACGGCGGTCGGGTACGGCGTGGCGAGCGACGGGACCAAGTACTGGCTGATGAAGAACTCGTGGGGCACGTCGTGGGGGGAGGACGGCTACGTCAGGATGGAGAGGGGCGTCGCCGACAAGGAGGGCGTCTGTGGCCTCGCCATGATGGCCTCCTACCCGACGGCGTGACAACCATCACTCTGAAATCTGAACGAGTGAATGGCATGCAGCTAGCAGGTTTTAAATAAGCAGTATGGTATTATGGATGGTGCTCTGTTTCTGAATTCGGATAGTACAAAACAGAACTGGAATGTAATGACAACTTGTGCAAGATCAAAATTTCTTGTCTTCACAACTGGAATCTATCTATTATCTATCTATCTATCTATCTATCTATCTATCTATCTATCTATCTATTATATACTAAAAGTCCATTAACTTTTCTAAAATCGCTCTCAAGCTGACATGTAACATCCTAAAAGCGCTCTCAAGCTGCCACGTGGTGCGAGGAGAGGAGATGAGGACCCACAAAAAAACGAAATCCTCTCCCACAACGTCTGCATGTACGCATGCATGTGGATGCTTTTCTTCCATGCTTAGCGGCAGGATTACCAAGTATTCAGGGTTTTACATTAATAAGGTTTTTTTTTCTGTTATTTGGATCGGTATGTAGGAGTCCAAGTTGGGCTTTAGTCCGTTCAGCTGGCTAGGCCTTTGTGCCACCTATATATGCCATGTTCCTTGTATTAGGAGATTGGTTTTTAGTTTTCCTCTGTGTTGTGCCGCCGCCACCGCCTAGGTCAGGAAGGAGATGGCGATTCCATACGTTTTGCCACCATCGTTGCTGCGTTGGTTAATTTGGTCCTAGGCATGTTCTGATTTCTGACGAAGTCTTCTTGCTCTGATCGGCTATCATTCTTGCTGCATGGGTGGAGTTTATGTACAGGTTTCGTTAGTTTATTCATTATAAACTGAATCATCTATCTGTTTATATTTGATGCTACTGGAGCTATTCAGTTCAGTTTATCTGGAGTAAATGATCTTATGTGCGACCCTATATACTTTGCTGGACGAGATCTCTATCTTAATATTGATGCTGCTCTTGATTCAACTGGAGATTAGGGTGTATATATATATATTCTCGTTGCATTAGAAAGGACACATTTATCCCATACCAAGTTGTACACTCAACATAGTTATGTTTACATCCAAATTTTAAGAGATCAAAAACATTTCAAGAACAATTGATAGAACATAGACCTCCAATATTCCCAAAGAAACAGAAAGGATAACTGGAATTCAGACAAAATTTGGGCTAAATTTAAACAAATTTTGTTGAATCCAAAGCCCAATATAAATTGAAGAAATCATTTGAATTTTTTTTGCTTAAAGTTCTATAACTATTCTTAAGAACACAAATTTCTTAAAGTTTAGAACTCCAAAACGAAGATTTGATATGTATTAAAAATAACATATAGTTTAGATGACAATTCATAGGAACCAACTTCATTTTTGCGACATAATACTTTCCTATAATTAAAGATTGTGTTGCAAGGATAATTAGCATTCAAAATATTCACAAACAAAATATTGACAAAAAAACAGGTTGCCAATAGAATCAGGAACAATCACGCATATACAAACATTATATTCATATGTGTAGAGTAATATTTCAAGCACATTAAATTAGATGCCCGCGCATATGCGCGGGCTTCCTTTCTAGTTATCTAAACAGATAAATAATCGCGCTCTTTCAATTAACGCGTAGTCAAAGCTACATCATCACTTGATGGATTATCATTATAAAAAAAAAAGGGCTGCTATATACCGGTATCCCGTTGGGATGTCCCAACGGAATCGCTCCATGTCCACCTCCCTCAGACGCGAGAGCGCTCCACGTCCACCTCCCTCAGACGCGAGAGCGCAGGCCACCGTGGGAGCAGCACAGAGGCGGCTAACGCCGGCGGCGCGGACGCGGCCGGCGCCGACGAGCTCCGGCGTGGAGGACGTGGCCGCCGGCGACGAGCTCCCGCGTGGAGGACGCGGCCGCCGGCGAGCTCTGGCGTGGGGCATGGTCGCATGGACGGCGGAGGATCTGCGTGGTGACAGAGACAGTGCCGGCGAAGAGCTCCGGCGTGGGGCGTGGACGGCGGAGGATCCTGCGTGGTGATGGCGGCGGCGCCGGTCACGAGCTCCGGCGTGGAGGACGCGGCCACCGGGTGAGGCGTGGACAACAGACGCGGCTGCCGGTGACGAGCTCCCGACAGAGGACGCGGTCGCCAGCGCGCGAGCTCCGATGTGGACCATGGACGGGGGAGGATGCGGCTGCCGGCGATGAGGTTCGGGTTCAGTACGGAGCGTGGACGGGGGAGGACGCGGCCGCCGGTGACGATGCCTCGACACCTCGATGCCTAGCTCCTGGTATCTAGTAGGTATCATATGAATACGATACCTCACAAGTATCACCCCGATACGTCGTAGAAATCGCACGATACCTTATAGGTATCACATGATACCTCACAAGTATCGTCTGATACGTGATAGGAATCGTCTGATACCTGATACGTGGTAGAATCACATGATACCTGGTAGGTATCACCCGATACCAGCTAGTTATCAGGTGATACATGTAGGGTATCATACAATTCTTACCACGTAGAAGATGATAGTTGCGAGGTATCAAGTGATACTTGAGTAGGATCTCACGGCTTAGGAGCTCAGCCTCGTTCCTATTTGGATGGGAAATATGGACGAAGGGTATCCTGTCCCGACGGTATACCGGTATATAGCATTTCCGAAAAAAAAAAACCTTATGGATGATGGCATGATGCAATATTTCTGCATTCTGATACTTGTTCAGATTGCAGTGCAATAAGCCAATAACAACTTGTACAACAAAATAAACAAAGCTCGTTCAGATTTGTGGTTACAACTGGTCAAGGATGCCTCTTCATGCAGTACAAGCTGCATCACCACATGATAGAGGACCAAATCAATCTGGCATGCTGAATTAACCAAATGACAGGATTCACATTTCGTAGAAGAACAAATCGGAAAAATCACATTACGTCTATTGACAATTGACACGCATCTCTGTGCATGATCAGTAGAGAAACAGTGATGCAGAACCTGAAAATATAACTTGTAGATACAAATGGAATATGAGAAGGTTATCTCTGACTCTCAGAAATGAGATCACACCTTCACATCAGCATTAAGCCACGTACTTATGTAACATCAGTATCAAGCCTTAGCTAACCAAAGAAGAGGCATGAATCCAGAATTCCAGATAGAGTAGTTCTTACTTTTTAGTTGTTAGGCAGCAAGCAAAATTTACCTCTGTGGAATGGCACTTGTTGGCTAGAATAAACTTGCTACTAAATTAAAGCTAATCGTACTACACTACTAATGAGACCAAAAACCCTGTCCAGTCTTGAGCACATGCCAACAACAAAAAACAATGCCTTGCATGTGGAGATGTAGATACACCTATCCTGCAAACATAACACTAACAACTTTCAGAGAAACTGAGCTTGGATGGATCACATATGTAGGCACCTCTGGTTCCTAGTACACAAAAGGGTCACGGATAGAATAATCTGATCCTCTCTGAAAGCTCCAAATCAGACCACCTTCTGAGTCATCGCTCCTATAGACCTGCATTGAAGAGATCTTACTGGCCCATCTCACAGATTTGAGGATCTTCGCTGTCCAGAGCGTATCAATGGAGTATGAAGTGAATTGTGGATTGGCCAACACCACAGCCACATTCTTCACCATCTGCGCATTCTGGACGAAGTACTTCAGGAAGGATATCGCGTTGGCCTCCCCTTTGAATTCACGGAATGTAAGCACATTGACATGGGACACGATGCTTTCGATTGGGCCAGCATCATCCCAGAAATTGGGGCTTACCAAGCTGGTGGCTTCAGAACATTTTGCACACTGCAGAAATGGTTAAATCAGTAAATGTTTCAGAGTTCAGCTAGCAACTAATTGATCATGCAGTAGCACAAGAAGGCAATGAGGCAGGTTCAATTCATACCACAACATGCAGGGACTCAGCATTGGGAAAGCATTTGAGGAAGTTGGGCAGCATCTGGGCATCATGCCTGACTCCAAAATTCACATTCAACCCCAGGATCTTGACGCTCGTGAACAATGCGCTTGGGCTCGACCTGATCCCAGCCTGAAATCCATTAAGATGGAAATGGATTGTTCAGATATTCAAATATCAGAATTTGGGACATCAGCAATTCAGAATCAGAGTGAACAAACAAACTGAACAGTAAGAGGTTAGAGATGATGGCAATGGCATACGCACACTGACAAAGGTGTCATGGATCTCCAGCATGTGGAATCCTGTCTCCAAGTTTCCCAACAAGCGCAGCCTGGGGGCATGGACGATCTTGACCCTGACGCAGGAGTCATCCTTGCTCAAAGAATCATAGAGCACGAGCCGCTCGAGGCATGGCGCGTCCACCACGGCGAGATTCTCCACGCAACACGAGCAGATCTGCACGCAACGAAGGCTCCGGTGCTCCAGGCGGAGGCGCAACACCTGCGTGTTGCCTCCTTGGATGTTGAGGGTCTCCAGCACGGGGGATCTCGCCACGATGAACTCGACCTCGCGGCCCTCCTTCTCCATGGCGACGGCGTAGATGCCGAGCTCGCGAAGGTTGGGGAAGGCGGTGTTGGTGGGGAGGCCGGCAATGTCGGGGAACTTCCACATGCCGATGTAGAGGCGGGTGAGGGTGGAGATGCGGAGGATGGCGGCAGGGAGAGCCGCCTCGAACGGCCATGGGCGGTTGACGAGGATGAGGTCGTCGACGCCCTTGGCGGCGAGGAACCGGAGCCAGTGCTCGAGCTGGGCCTGGTACGATCCCATGAAGCCGCAGAGGAGGTGGACGCAGCGGAATGGCCCCGGGTGCGCGGCGAGGATGCGGGACACGGCGGCGACGATGCCCGGCGTGTCGGCGCGCGTCGGGGCAGAGGCGGAGACACCGAAGCTTCGACCTCGCGGGAAGAGGTGGGCGTCCACGAGGACGAGCGGCGTGGAGCGCCAGAGCGGGCGCCAGCGGCGGGAGAGCGCGGCGGTGCGCGCGGCGTCCTTGACGGGGAGGCGGGAGACGATGTTGCGGAGGATCGCGTCGGGGAGGGCGCTGATGCGGTCGACGCCGTCGGAGGCTGCGGCGGCGCAGGCGGCGTGGGTGCGGGCGGCGGCGATGGGTACGGGTGGGCCAGGGAGCAACCCGTAGATGTGCGTCATCAAGTACTTGGTGCACTCCTCCAGCTTGCGCGGGTCGTCGCCGCGGCGGCGCGCTTCCGCCACCGTGGCGGGGTCAAGGTAGATGATCGGCGCACCTTCCGCCATGGATTCCGACGACGCCGCCGGCTAGGGTTTGGTTTGGGGTTCTGGACGGCGGCGACGAGTCACTGTTGTGTGAGGGAGCGAGTGTCCCGAGTTTGGAGGGGACGTGTCGTCGTGTGAGTGGTGGTTTCGGGTCCGTGGGTTTCGTGTCCTATAGCAGGCCAAACGGGCGGCCCGGCCCAGCACGACACGGCACGCCGACGGCACGGCCCACTAGGGCACGGCCCGTTAGGCACGGCTCCTGTAGCGGGCCGTGCCGTGCCGGCCCACGTGCCAAGGCCACGGCCCAAGCACGGCCCAAGAAGGTGCTGGGCCGTGCCGGGCCGGCACGGCTACTGTAGTGGCACGTGGGCTGGTAGCCGGCCCACTAGTACATGTGGCCCATAAAAATTGAAATTTGAGGGGAAAAAAAGAAAAAAGGCAGAAAAAACATAATATAAAGGAAAAAATGATAAATATAGGATAAATGTGAGGAAAATTTAGGAAATATATCATAAAATATATGGTACAAATAGGATAAAATGTGGAAAAAAATAAAAAATATGAGAAATATATGGGAAAAATTAGAAAATCGTAGAAAAAATAAATGGGCCGGTGGGCCGTGCCATGCCTGGGCCGTGCCGTGCCGGCACGCTACAGTAAACGTGCCGTGCCGTGCCAGCCCACGGGCTGAGGCATCGGCCCAAACACGGCACGGGATAACGGGCCGTGCCGGCACGGCCCACAGGCTGACGTGCCGTGCCGGGCCTGGGCTGGCTACAGTACTGTCGTGCTCGGGCCGGCCCGGCTTGGCACGGCCCATTTGGCCAGGTATATCGTGTCCTGGTTGGGCCAAATGTCGGTAATGAGTTGCACCTGGGCCCATGAATCAGTAACTCCACGTTTCTATGTTCCCATTTTCCAGATATTTAGGCGTTACTTTGGATTTTGTTCTCACTCAAATTTAACTTGACGAAATATATAAGAAAAAAAAGGGAAACATTTATATCAGAATTAGTTTCAGACTATCAGTAAGGATTTGTTTGAAATTAAAGTCCGTTTAGCTTTTGTTAGACGGAACAAACCAGCATACTGGTTGCATTGATATCCATCTAGGTCACCTCCCACATGTGGCTGAACGGACTACTAGAAAAATAATTTTTTACAACGAGGCCTATAAAATTTATAGGTGGACCATATTTTAGCTGCGATTATCCACCTGCGCAGTTACGTAGAGAGGGATCCGATTTTCCCCCACTCACAGACGGATGGTTTAAAGGGATCGCCTGCAATAATATTCTTAATTTTCACAGGTGAACCACTAAAACCCCCGCCTGCAAAAACCGATTGCCGGACAACCCACTAAAAAAACAAATCCTCACGTATGTCCTTATCCCCAAGTCTCCAAAAATCTAAGTTTACCACAACCACTCCCTGTCTATCCTTATCCTCTCCCTCTCCCTCTCCTTACCATCCTCTCCCTCTCCCTCTCCTTACCGCGTGCAAGCCCAGCTACAAAGAGCAGCGATAGTTCGGCAAGGAGGAGGGCCGAAGGCGGCGACAAAAAGGATGGCAGGCGGCAGCCGCCGCTTGACGAGGAGCGGCGATGAGGAAGAACGCCCACGATGGTGGCGGCTTGGCAAGGAGAAGGAGGGCTGGCAGCAGATTGACTCCTCCACTCCCGCCAGTGGCAGTGGCTCTGCACAAGGGTGACGGCGACCTACTTCCGCACCGAGCTAACCGTATCGACCAACGGCTATCTCTAGAGCTCCTTCGTTGTTCTTGTTCCTCTAAATCCAGATCTAAAAATTCTCTTTTTTTCCTTTGTGGCTTTCTACTAAAAGCCGGGTATTTGACCTCTAGTCTAAAAAAAATTCTCTCTTTTTTTCTCTGTTTATCTGGAATATGGGAATCTTGTTCTTCTCATCTGAGTTGTGACATTTTATATGAAATATGTGAATTTTGTTCATCTTATTTGTGTGGTGACATTTGATTTGATTTGTATTGTGCTTGATCTGTGCAAATGGCAGCTGAATGGGGATATTTTCAAATGTACTTTTACTTTTTTTTGCCGAAAATTATTAACATAGGCGGTTAGTTTTATCTACTCACCTGCAAATATCACATTTTCACTGGCGGACGGCTTAAAACAGCCGCCTGCGAAAATGATTTTTTGTAGGCAGACAAGAGGCCCACAAGCAAAAATCGTTGATTTTCATAGGCCTTAGGTGCAGGCTGAGGTTTTGGTCACATGAAAAAAAAAATATATTAGTAGTGACGACAGCATGAAATCCACCATCGCATGCCAACACGAAGTCCAGCAACCCGAAATCCTCATGCACGGCTGCGCCCTAGCAATGCGAAATCCACCAGCAACTGGCTCCTGCTTCTTCTTCAGCTCAGCACCGGCAGGGCTCTACTGCAACGACACACATATCTCCATCTCAACCAATTCACTGTCCGTCCTCGTTGTCTTCCATACAAGGCCATGCATCTATCCAGCAGCAACAGCAGCTCAGGTTATCTATCAAGAAATCAAGACAAGGCTTTGATTTCCATGATTTTCAAAACTCCATCGCTGCATGCACTCCATCTACATTTTGTTTTTGTGATCAATACTCTTCATAAGAAGAGTGCGACTCTCCATCCTCAAACCGGGTGAAATGCGGCAGCCACCCAGCATTTTGCACACACGATTTCCCAATGCACCACAAATTTCTGTACACATAATTTCAATCCACCTTTCAAGCAAATCACTCAAAAACACACCAGCTATTCTAAATAATCTGGCCTGCCCAAATTACTGACAGTGTTAAATTATGTCATAAACAACAGGTACTTCGTACCTCACAGCATGTCAGCATCAGCTGAGCATGCAACTTGAATATTTGTAACTCTCTTTTCTCTTTTGAAAGGAACAAGAGGAACAATATTGCAGCAGAAAGAGACAAAAGACAGGGTAAGGTTAAAATCTTCTCCTCAAGTGCAATAGAATTACCAGATGGACAAGATAGATAATTCTCCACCGGCAATCTATGGAAGATGAGTTAACAGCAGGCTTCACTTTATCGATTTAGCCCATTTGATCGGAGGTCACCGAATCTCGAAATTTCAGAAATTTCGGTCCGAAATTTTGAACAAAATTTAGTTGAATTTGAACAAATGTTACCAAAATTCATGAAAAATTTGAAAAATTTCGGCCGAAGTAATATCGTATCGGAGGGGACCGAAATAACCAAAATTTCGGTCCGAAATTTCCAACCCTGGTTAACAACAGAACAAAAAAAAATGGGGTTTAAGTCTTAAATTAAGCAACATTTGGTGAAAGATGCCTCGTAAATCGCAATCCAGTTGATGGTATCATCATAAGGCATAACCACTAGAGATGAACCTCAAAGTAGAAGAATCCAAATGATTATACATAATCTGATGATAATTGACTTTACAAAGCTAATAATTAACTCTATGAAATTGGAAGTACTAAACTGTGGTACCAGACAGAACAAAACACTTCGTTTAACATCCAAAAGACATGTATAAGATTCCAAACAAAACATGAACTTGCTCAGATATTAGTGATTCTAACTAGCATCAAAGGAATTATTGAGCAAAGTAGTGCACTGTAACATCAACATGTAAAACAGTGAAGGTAAAGTACGATACCATACTACCAGATAGATCAAAGCGTCCAGTTAACATATAAATCACATTGGTATGATTGCAAACGATTGCATGAACTTGCTCACATATCACTGGTTCTGACAAGCATCAACGAAAAATTTAGCAAAACAGTGCAACATAACATCATCATCGTCCAACAACAAATGAAACGCATAGCAGACACAGTAGTTCTTAGTTGTCATCCAGAAAACATAATTTGACATTTGCATGATAGATAACACTATTCAAGCACTAATTTCAACACTTCTCAAGACAGTATAATCAAGTCCGCTGTCCAATCTTCAATAAAAGGGAAGCCGAAACTCTAACATGAATACCATGAAGCTGCAAACAGAGCACTAACCACTTCCAAAGATATTTGTCTTGGATCACAAAATGACATGGAAATGCATCTTTTTCTTTCAGTAGTCCGTGAAAGGGTCAAAACGAGAAAAATCAGATCCTCTCTTGAAGCTCCAAATGTTACACTCTTCAGGTTCTGTACTTGGGGTGACCAGGACTAAACAACCAGTCGGCCGTTTTGCAGCCCTCAGAACCTCCACCTTGGAACGCACCTCATCCATCGAAGAAAAACTTCCAGTGTCAAACAAAATGACCACTATCTTCAGCACCCGCGTAGTCTCGAAGAAAAACTTGAGAAAGTTAACCTCACTCCGAGTGCCATGAAAATCATGGAAAACAATCATCTGGATGCTTGACCGAATGCACTCGATGGGACCAGACTCCTGCCAGAACTTGAAGTTGAGCTTGCCAGTGGTTTCATCAGTTTTTCCAGACTGCAAATTGGTTAGATCAGTCACCAGAGATTTGTTCATCAGCTAGTGATGACAGATTAAGATGCAAATGAATGTGGATGGAGGTGTAATTTCACCTTGATGTGGAGCCTCTCAATGTTGGGAAAGCATCTGAGGACATTGGGGATCATCTTGGCATCGTTGCGGACACCGAAACGCACCTCCAGAGCAAGGATCTTGACGTTTGGTACCATATTGCTTGGGCTCACCTTTGTCGCGGACTGCAATCACAGAACAAAATGCACCCAATTAAGGCTGAAAAATCACAAATTGCCATCGTTATATTTAAGAAGTTGTGGAATTGAAACGAGCAATGCACCTTGATGGCGGTTTTGCCAACCACAAGAACGTTCGCTGCAGGGTCCAAGTACCCAAACACGCGCAGAGCCGGCGCATTCCCAATCTTGACGCTGCCGGAGGAGGCGCCGTCATGCCTCCATGTGCCGGAGACGATGAGGCGCTCAAGGCACGGCGTGTCCACCACGGCGATCTCCTCGTAGGAGGAGCCGATGATCTGCGCGCACCGGAGGCTGCGGCTGGCGAGGCGGATGCGCATCCTGAACAGGTTCCCCTTGATGCAGAGCGTCTCCAGGACGGGGCTCCTGGCGAGGACGAAATCCATGTCCTGCGTGTCCATGACGACGCTGCAGAGGCCGAGCTCGCGGAGGTTGGGGAACGAGACGCCGCGCGGGAGGTCAGCCGTGGCGGGGAACTTCCAGAGGCCGAGGTAGAGGCGGGTGAGCGTGGCCATGCCGAAGAAGGTGGCGGGGAGGCCCAGGTCGAGCGGCCACGGGCGGTTCACGAGGACGAGCTCCTGGATGCCCTTCATGGCGAGCACCTGGAGCCAGTTCGCGAGCATGCCCTGGAACTCCTCCATGCAGCTGGACGTGAGGTGGACGCACCGGAACGGGCCCGGGTGCGCGCCCATGACGCGGGACACGGCGTGGGTGACGCCGCGTGCCGCCTCCCGCGCCTTCTTGGAGGAGTCGTCGGGAGCGCCGGGGGCGGCGGAGGAGGAGGAGAGGAGGTGGGCGTCGACGAGGACGAGCGGCGTGGAGCGCCAGAGCGGGCGCCAGCGGCGGGAGAGCGCGGCGGTGCGCGCGGCGTCCTTGACGGGGAGGCGGGAGACGACCCTGCGGAGGAGCGCGTCGGGGAGGGCGCTGATGCGGTCGACGGCGTCGTGCGGGGCGAGCGCGTAGAGGCGCGCGGCGGCGGAGACGGGCGGGTCGGGGAGGGCGTAGTGGATGTAGGAGAGCACGCGCGCCACCGTCCCCTGCACGTCGTCCGGGTCGTCCCCGCGCCGCCGGAACTCGGCCGCCATCGCGCGGCCCATGGGGACGGGCGGCACGCGGGTGTCCATGGTCGCCGCTCGCCGCCGCCGGGGCCGGAAGGGAACTAGGGAAGGGGACGAGCCGACGAGGGTTTGGGGCGTCGTGTGGTGTGGACTGTGGAGTGGAGTGGAGGCGAGCTCTGGTGTGTGTAGGCGGAGTGGGAGGTGCTGGTTTGTCTTGTAGTGGGGTAGTTTGGTCGGGATGCGAGGAAACCTAGGGTTTCGGTGGTTTGGTTGGGCCAAATTTCGGATGCAGATTGCTCATGGCCCAAACTCTCTCCGTCACAAAATAAATATATAAGATACTTTTTACACGTTACTATATTTATATCATAATAAGTTTATTTTTGATTTATATGTGTTAAATATTTAACCGTTCATCTTACTAAAAAAATATAAAAATATATTTAGTCACATATAAAATATTATTCATGTTTTATCATTTAATATCAGCAGCATAAAAAATTTAAATAAGACAAAGAGTCAAACGTTATATCTAAAAACTGAAAAATGAACTTTTTACGAGACGAACATAGTAAGAAATATCTCATCCTATCTTAAATTGTTGATAAAATTTCCTTAAGAAAATACCTCGAGTAACTTAAAAGTGTGGTACCTCCCAATATTTTCTTAAGGATAGTAAAATTGCCCTAGATTGTTTATTTTGGGATGGAGGAGGAAATCGGTCACTTTGTTCTTCCTAATGCAAGGTACACTCGACTCACAATTCTTGCTAGAATTTTGCGATGGATAGATTTTGCTAGAATTTATAGACACCGATATAATTCTTGCGAAATTCCCGTAATATTCATGTGTTCCAATGAAGTCCTTCGAAAAATGTCTATTTTGCCTATACTTAAATTTGGGGAGTTCAATGTAGTATAGAAATTGTTTCGAAAATTATGAAGTGCTACGGGTATATCACTATGATTCGTGTGATAATTACTCCCTCCAGTCACGAGAATATGTTGATTAGGGTTTGTTACAAGTAAGACTTTGGCCGTGTTTAGTTTTCCCTCTATTCCCAACTTTCCATCACATCGTATCACATCAAAACTTTCCTACGCATATAAACTTCCAACTATTTTTCTAAACTCCCAACTTTCTTCAAACTTCCAACTTTTTTCAGGAATTAAACACACCCTTTAAAAACAAAGAAAACAAATACTCCTTCCATCCCAAAATATAAGCATTTTTAGATCTTGTCATTGTTTTCGAGATGCTATTTTGACCAACAATTTGTATAAAAATAAAATATTTTAAATAACAAGAGTCGCATATTATAATAGTTTATTAATGATAAATCTAGTAACATCAATTTTATATGATTTATTTTTTTTATTTTATTGCTATTAATAGTCAAAGTTAAAAATTGTTGATTTAGCACTATACTGAAAATGCTTATATTTTGGAACGGAGGAAGTATATAGGATCCAATAACGCTAAACCACGTGCACGTGTGCCATAATATACACGCTATGAGTACAAAAGATTTCGCAGGTATATCCTGCACACCGTGGCCATCTTGATCTGAAAATATTTCCGGGGTTTTCAAAAAAAAAAATTCTAGAGTTGCAGCGACAACATTAGTCAACGCAGCAGGCTTTCTAGGCCGAGTTTATTTCCAAACTTTTTCTTCAAACTTTTAACTTTTTCATCACATCAAAACTTTCCTACACATACAAACTTTCAACTTTTTTGTCACATCGTTCCAATTTCAACCAAACTTTCAATTTTGGCGTGAAAACACACCCCTAGTTTCTTTATTTCATCTTCTAAGGACGAATGGCAGATATAATTCTCCTGTATGATCTGCAAAGAAATGTATTGAAAGAAGATCATAACTGTTGGCATTCAAAGTTAATCATCAAACTTTTGTATAAATTCGATTCACATTCCACAATAAAGTTTATTCACATTCCAGTATTCCCCAGTAGAAGACCAATAGATAGACCACGGGAGTTCTGATAAAAACAGACTTTTCACTTTGGACTTTGAGACGTCCACTACCAATCAGAACTGCAACTCTCCAAGCAACAGAATGCGCTACTAGATGGAACAGAAACTTCATAAAATGTGGTAAAGGAAATTGGTAATGCAGCATATAAACATGAATTAGCTTTGATATCTCTGATTTTTACCAACACGAAGGCACAATTTTAATTAGCAGAAACTGTGTGACGTCACATGCTCACAGGTCAATACAGCATTCATCTTAGTCAAAAGAGAGTCCTGTTAAAGATACTACCAGACTGAAGAACTCTACCGAACCTCAAAACGCAACCAGAAAAAAGAAATGCAGAAGTTATGGAAGAAAAATAATCCCTCTCACGCAGAAACTGCAACAGAACACTAGCAACTACCAGAGATGTCAAACTTCGAAGATCGGATGATGATTGTCAAAGGGTCCACAAATCTCTGATGAAATTGACCTTACAGAAATCCATACCAATCAGGACTGCAACTCTACAAGCAGTAAAATGTTCTACCAGATGGAACAAAAACTTCATGAAATGTGGAAAAAGAAATTGGCAAGCCAGCGTACAAACATGAAGTAATTTTGATATCTCTAATTCTTACCAGCACAACAGCAGGATGGCACAAATCTAATTAGATAGAACTGTGTGATGTCACATGATCAATGCCAGGTCAATACAACATTCATCTGAGATAACATTTGTCTTCTGCTGGAAAGACAATACTGTTGGAGTTGCTACAGGATTGAGAGCACTGATAAATCTCAAAATTGGAACAAAAAACAGCAGAAGTCAAGGAAGCAAAACAATCCCTCTCATTTAGAAACTGCCACAGAACACTAACAACTTCCAGAGATGTCAAGCCGAGAAGATCGGATGATGATCGCAAAAGGGTCCATAAGTGAAAAATCACATCCTCTCTCAAAGTTCCAATTGCTTTCTCCTGCACTAGCATCACTCTCAAGGACCACTAGTGAACAACATTTACTAGCCCATTTTGTGGCGAACAGAGGCTTCAGTCTGAAATTTGCCTCATCTGTCGATGCAAATGTTCCTTTGGGAGACACAATTATCAGCTTCTTCAGCATCCGCGCACTCTCAAGGACAAATTTGAGGAAGTTAATCTCACCCCGCGTTGCTCGGAAACGACGAAAAATCATCACGGTAATGTGAGACTGGATGCATTCGATGGCGCCTGCATCCTGCCAGAACTTGAGGTTCAGCTTGCCAGTGAGCTCATCAGTTTTCCGGGACTACAAATGAGTCAAACAATCGCACACTTGAAAGTTAGAGATGGATAATTCAGCCAACCAAGTAGAACATTTTTAGATAATACTCGTAACTAAGTAGTATATGAACGCTAAATCAAGCAAGCTGTGTCTCACTTCGACGTGCAGAGTCTCAACATTAGGAAAGCATCTGAGGAAACTGGGCAGCATCTTGGCTTCATTGCGGACTCCGAAACACACAATTATGCCAAGGATCTTCACACTTGGAACCATGGTGCTTGGACTAGCCCTTGTTCCAGCCTGCAATTTTGCCAATATGCAATGTTGTAACAAAATCAAAGAAGAAACTTCACACATTGGCATCGATCAGCAATCCACACATTTTGACCATCTGCACTGAACAGATTAACGGTCATACCTTGATAATAGTGTCGCCGATCTCCAGCACATGGGTTTCCAGATCAAGGTATCCAATTGCACGCAGCGAGGGAGCACGGCCAATCTTTACCAGCATGGAGGAGCCACAGGAGTAGAGCATGATGAGGCGCTCGAGGCGGGGCGCGTTGACCACGTTGACATCCTGGTCGAACCCCATCATCATCAGGCACCGGAGGCTGCGGCTGGCGACGCGGACGCGCTGAAGCGTGTTGGCCTGGAGGCAGAGCGTCTCCAGAACGGGGCTCCTGGCGAGGACGAAGTCCATGTCGTGGTTGGTGATGCCGATGAGGGAGAAGCCGAGGTCGCGGAGGTTGGGGAAGCAGGCGGCGCGCGGGAGCGCGGCCGTGTCGGGGAACTTCCAGAGGCCGAGGTAGAGGCGGGTGAGGGTGGCCATGCCGAAGAAGGTGGCGGGGAGGGTGAGGTCGGCCGGGAACGGGCGGTTGACGAGGATGAGCTCCTGGATACCCTTGACGGCGAGCACCTGGAGCCAGCTCGCGAGCAGACCCTGGTACTGGTCCATGAAGCTGGAGGTGAGGTGGAGGCGGCGGAACGGGCCGGGGTGCGCGGCGATGACGCGGGACACGGCGAAGGTGACTGCGCGGGCCTCCTCGCGCGCGGCGTCGGTGTCGGCGTCGGACACGCCGGCGGGGAGGAGGTCGGCGTCGACGAGGACGAGCGGGGTGGAGCGCCAGGCGTCGCGCCAGCGGGAGGAGAGCGCGGCGGTGCGCGCGGCGTCCTTGACGGGGAGGCGGGAGACGATCCGGCGGAGGAGCGCGTCGGGGAGGAGGCTGAGGCGGTCGACACCGTCGTCGTCGTCGTCGGGCGGGAGCGCGGAGAGGCGGGCGTGGGAGGAGACCGGCGCGTCGGGGATGGCAAAGTGGATGTAGGAGAGGACGGTGCCGATGGAGCTCTCGACGTCCTCGGGGACCTGGCCGCGCTGCCGGAACTCGGCCATGGTGGCCTCGTCCATGGGGATGGGTAGCACCCTCGTGTCCATGTCCGCCGCCCACCGAGCCGACGCCGGAAGGGAAGAGGGTTTGGGCTGTGGGGATTTGGGGTTTTGGGTGATGTGTTTTGTCTGGTAGTGGAGCTGAATTCTGGATTGGTGTCTGGTCGTCTCATGATCAGGGGAGCTTTGCGCCTTTGCAAAACATGGAACTTTCAAACATTTTACCGGCACTTTCGCTAGTACACTCTCAGTCGTAAATATAATACAGAGTAATGTCGTTAACTTTTTTTTTTTTAGAATTACACAGTACAACGCAGACACTCACAACGCACGCGCACTCACCGCTATGAACACACGCACGCAAACCCTAGAGAGATTGACGAAGTCACCACAGGCGCCTGCAAACCCTGGAGAGATTGACGAAGTCACCACAGGCGCCTCGCTGTCGACGGGTACGTCACCTACCACTGAAAGCACAACGCTGTTAAATCCTGGAAAAGTCGCTCCCATGGGGAGTCGAACCCAGGACCTTAGGTGCTACTAAGGCTCTTGTAACCACTAGGCTACAGGCCCTTTCGCAATGTCGCTAACTTTTGAACATATATTTAACCACTCAGCTTATTGAAAAATTTTATGTAAACGTATAAGATTTAAATTATGCTTAAATCAGGGGTGAAGCTAGCATAAATAATCACCAGGGTCAACACTAACCAGGTCTATTTATCAACCAAAACCAATGGAAAACGACACTATTTCGATGTTTCGATGTGGGACGAAAGTAGATTAGAGTGAAATTTCGGATAGTTTTCGAGAATTCAAATTTGAAACGGCAAAAGTCAAACGAAATTAATCAAATTTTGGCAAAGAAAAGTCATATGGTCGGGTTCGGAATCCGATATTAAATCGAAGAGGTGAACTCTGATACAAACATAGTTTGTTTGAACGTAGCTAACCATTCCCTCCCAACACGTAAAATGGAGCGAGGATTAGCACATGATTAATTAAGTATTAGCTTAAAACCTTAAAAATAGATTAATATGATTTTCTAAAAGTAACTTTTCCATAGAAATTATTTTGCTAGGGAATTTGAGAAGTTGTGGGCCACTAGGCTTATGCATGATCTCAAATTTGAAAGATTCAAATGAATATGCATATTCGGCTGATGTATAATCATAAGTGCTAGCTAATTTTCTATTTTTTACCGCTAGCATCGTTCCTAGTTGTCAATTGGGTTTTAACACGACAATTAACAATTAATGTCACTGGGGTCTAATCTTTCTTATCACCGGTGTCATAGCCAGTAAAATAAAGAGAAAATCCTTTGTATACCTCTAAAAATTTTAGCTAATCATTTATATGCCCCCGAATTTTGCTTACTTCCTTGTATACTTTCAAATTTTGATTTTGATCCCTTCCACACCCCTCCCGTCAGTTGACCGTGAGTTGACCATCTAAATTCTATAAAAATAACCATTTTATCCTTTGAATGAATATAGAAATTTATGAATATATTACTGAAAATGTAAAAGTCTGTTACGAGTTTGCTGTCTGATACATTATTTATGAAAAATAGATAATTAACTAAAAATATGTATTTATTTTGTTTTTAAAAATTCATAAAAAATTAGGAGCAATCATATAAAGATAGGACTACTAATGCTCATGATATTTTTTTATGAATGCTCTTGATAAAAAAAAGTTCATTGTCCAATTAAAATTTTAAACAATAATTTTACTTTATTACATTTTTTGATTTTCAAAATTTATGTCAAAATTTTTTGCACTAATTATTTATTCTCATTAGTTTCATAAAATACACATACTGTGCACTCAAACAAAATTTTCAATCGTTTTTCAAGTTTATATTCAAACCTAAATCATCAAGGGCATAAAAGACATTTTCAACCAATTGTAACAGTGAAAGGAAGGAAAATGTAACGATAGGGGCATGGAAGGGATCAAGTTAAAATTTCTAAGGTATAGAATGAATTGGGAAAATTTCAGGGGTATAAAGGGGATCGGGTGAGTTTTCAAGGGTACACAGAGAATTTACTCTAAAATAAAGAGGGCATATAAAGTTCATAGAAAATTGTCGGTGTCCCGATAAATAATTGTAGTGTTGCCCTGGCTTAAACTACTTTGTGGGGTAAAATAACTCAACAAAAAAAATTATAATTACATATTTTTTTTAGTAAGTCGAATGGTCAAATATATAATAAAAATTCAACGGCATCATCTATTAAAAATTGGAGATAGTATAAATTTGCATGAACACTTATTGAGATTTATATGTAAAGTGGTTATATTTTGAGACAAAGGTAGTACTTATTTTAAAATAATAGAAGTTTAAGATTTATAGAGCATGTTTGACACGGCTCTAGTCTAGCTCCACCTCTTTTGGAGTTAGAGCCCAACCAAATAGTTTCAACTTCACCTGAAATAAGAGTTGAGCTGGCGATAGCGCTCTCAAAAAGTAAATTACAGACGCGGAGATGCATTTATGCAGCTCCACAACTCAACTCTAGACCTAACAAATGAAGTTAAGTTTAAGAGTTTGAGTTCTACGATATTAAGAAAACATGTGAAATTGAGATGGTGGATTGTGATTTGTTGATTAGAAAACATAGGTGAAAATGAAATGAAAAAGATGAGATTGGTTGAGAAGATAATGTAGGTGGAATTTTTTTATATTTTTAGACAAATTTTAAATACTAAAAATATTATATTTTAGAATAAAAGGCACTATATTTATTTAACGGTCTAATTTCTAGCAATTATTTGGCTCATTAGATGGTTATGTTATCCGTGCAATTATGTGTACTTGTATTTTGTGGGCATGGGTCTGCGCAACGGTGAATTTGGTGCTCATATGTAGAAATTTGACAGCCTGAAATTTTTTTACGTCGTTTTGATAAGATGCCACTGTATGATAAAATGCTATTCCCTTTGTCTCATTTTGGTTATTTCTCATATTTTGTAACGGATAGAGTTGTATACTCAATATTTTTTCCCGTGACTAATGCCGAGTGGGTGTTTCTATTTTGTCTGGTAGTGGAGCTAATTTCTGGATTGGAGGCTGGAGCCTGATGTGAGTTGTTCTTTTTTTTCTCTCTCTCTTTTAAGTAAGGGTTTGGCTGCTTCAAAAAAAAAAAAAAGTAAGGGTTTGGCACCATTGTGTTAATAGAGCAGAAAGTATGGATGAGGTTCTTAGGCTATTTTTTTTAGATAATAGAATAGAACATCGCGGCCTTGGCTCAACGAGCTACAACCAATTATTATAATCTAACAATCAAAATGAGTGTAGTTTAGAGAAACTTATAAAGACAAGACCAGCCATATACAAGAAACAAACTAAAGGTTGCCAACACAAGATAAAGAGTACACGATTATTGAATTATGTTTGTGAACCTCTATCTGAAATTGACAAAAAGTTGCATAACCGTTGTCAAGATTACGACATGCAACCTTTAAAAGCTCGCCATCTTCATCACATTTTTGTAGTTGTGCCTAGGACCAGAGCCAATATGTTGCTCTGAAAATTACCTGCATTTATAAAATAGATGGTGAATTGTCAAAAACCATGTCGTTCCTGCTCAACCATAGAGCCCAACATATAGCAGATGCTCCTATAAGAATAAGTTTTCTACTTTTTTTTGTTAACCTCCATAAGCCAATTTTCAAATATATGATGATGCAGCAACGGGGGTTCCCGATCTTTCGATGAGAGGAGGATAAACTTCGATTTGGGGGAGGACACGACGTTGGCGGTCCGACTACAACTACCACAGGGCAACCGGTACACCGACTCCACGTTGTTGCTGTTCTTGCCGTGCCAAGAACAACCTTGAACCTGCAAGCAATCGAAGAACAAGCAAGAACAAGTTGACAAGGAAACAGCTCACGGCACTTGTCAAATGATGAAACTGAAATAAACCAAAATGGGGTTCTGAATACTAGTATCCGGGTGGTCTAGCCGACACATGCGAGTACAAGGAAGTAGCTGCAGCTAAACTTACATCAAAACAAAACCCAAAATGCAAAATGGTGGCTGCTAGGAGTTTATATAGGTGGAGGAATGACCAGGAGAGGAGGTGGGAGCAAACCCTAGGTTTTGTGGACCCCTAATGGGCTGTAAAGATACAAGGCCCAAGCCTAAGTTTCTGATGTAAAGAACTATTTTCGTCATTCTGAGCAGCCTGGGTCAAATTTGATGGTGAGGCCACACATAGCTGAAAGTAGACGAGGAGATCTTTCCAACAAGTACTCATTTGCCCCGTTTGCCCTCCGGAGTGAAGAGCATTGACTTCATCAAATCAGTGCTGCTAGTGCTGCTTGCGATCTGATTCCTCTCCCATATTCCTAACAACAAGTAGATCACAACATCCATTTAGTAGCACCCAATTCTGAGAAGAACTTGTATGATTAGCTAGGAATGACTTTACCTGATAATTAAGTTCACGAGCTCGAGCTCTAGTCATTGGTCCTTGCTGTGCAATAGGCATGGTTGTATCGTTGGAAGGGATGTCCTCGTCATCCTCCCCTTCTTGCATTTGAGTCGTCCTCGACTCTAACTCATCTTCTTCTCCCAAATATGGCTTTAAATCTGCAATGTTAAACGTGGGGCTAACCCCAAAATCGGCAGGTAGCTCAAGCTTGTATGCATTATCATTAATCTTTTGTAGCACTTTGAAAGGACCATCAGCTCTAGGTAGCAACTTAGATTTTCTCAAATTAGGGAACCTATCCTTTCTCAAATGCAACCAAACCAAATCACCAGGTTCAAAAGCAACATGTTTCTTTCCTTTGCTCCCAGCAAGTTTATACTTAATATTCATGCTCTCTATGTTCTACTTAGTGGTCTCATGCAGTTTTAACATTAATTCAGCGCGATGTTTTGCATCAAAGTTCACTCTCTCTGAAGTTGGGAGGGGCAAAAGATCAATTGGAGCACGGGGTAGAAGGCCATAAACAAACTCAAAAGGGCACTTCTTAGTAGTAGAATGTTGTGAACGATTATAAGCAAACTCAACATGAGGCAAACATTCTTCCCACATTTTAATATTCTTTTTTAAAACAGCCCTAAGCATTGTAGATAATGTTCTATTCACCACCTCAGTTTGTCCATCAGTTTGGGGGTGACATGTAGTAGAA